AACATGAGAGGTTTTTGGACCAATTTTGTGTTCTCCATTCTTTAACACCGGTTCGAGCACTGTTTAAGCACCGGCACCGTTTCAAAAGTACCGGTTTGGTACTGGTATCGGATAAAACCTAAACAATACCCATCCCTAATGTGCAGTATTTAAAAAATATCAGAATGAGTGCAGCAGAGTGTCTCTCTTTTTACAAATTCTTCTTTGCCAAATATGCCACGACCGCCAAACAATGGACAGTTCACTGCTTTAATTTCTTCTGCTGCTAGCCTAAAGCAAATCACGTAGAGAGTTGTGCTTAGGTCATGTCTTTGTACAGAGATCGCGTTTAATTCTTGAACAAGCCCCAATTTGATATGACCAGACCAGAACAATGGACTAGTAAAGACTTAACTAAGTATAAATCAGAATAATCTGTATTAGTAGTGTAAAACAATATGTAAAGTTACTCATGAAGTGCACGTTGAAAGTTAAAAACAAACCAAAGGGTAATGAATAAAGTTGCAGCCACACTGCAAGGAAGTTGCTCATTGCGTGTCTCTTTGAAGCTGACATCTGTTAACTATAACCCTCTAATGAATTTACTACTAGGTCATATATTAGACTGCATTCTCATTGGTAGTCCCTTCAATCAGTTGCCCGGAAGTTGTCAAAAGTTTATCTTGGGTTCTGCCCAGGTTACTTTGCCAATGGTTTCACCTGGAGTCGCGTGAAATAGCCAAATATTATTCACATTCTATGATTTCCATCGCTGCCCTGCTTCCAGCGTGGGTGCTGCTTCAGAGATGGATACAGTAACTTAGATGACGTTTAAAGCATCCCTGCAGAACACTGGTCAAGTGGCAAGCCAACTTAGCTCTGCAACATAATGGGAAAAAAGCACATACACAATGCACTATCGCTCACAATTCCATAATATTTAACAAGATCTTTAAACTGACTCTTGTCTGTAACTAATTGGAGTAAACCTTTAAGTACCAGAGGAATGATTACAGCACTTAATTTGAAATAAACTGATAAAATGTGCCTTAACATTTAATGGGTGTTAGAGTCACTTGTAATGACAACTTCTGCAAATTTTTAAAGATATCAGAGAGACAGTTTTCAACAAGATGTAGGTCACTTTAAAAGGCATCATAATTTCATCATATGCCCATCAGAAAGCTATGACATATCCATTTTTCATCTGTAAAGACTGGATGTGTATTTATTTCTTTAAATTATAGCAATTATATTTGATTCATTTAAATTCTGCTATGCTAAAGCTAAATGTCTCATTATTGGCCTCAAAAGTCCAACTTTACATTATCAGATTTACTCCTTATCTTTCTACATCCCTGAAAGGTAATTCTCTGCTGCACTCTTTGAGCTTTATTCAGTTTAAGCTAAATGGATGATTTGTAAACATAAACCCAGAGAGAAAGTGGAGTACAGAAAGTGTAATCCTTTGCAGACAGATAAAGGAAAGTGTAACATTTTTGTTGACTTAACAAGTTAAATTAAGACCCTGGCTACTGAAAAAAGCAATCAGAGTTTGAGATAATTTCTCCAAGGCCAACACAAATATATAAGTTACATCCGTAACCTTGCCAAGCACTTGTTTTATGTACATAACCTTGGCAGAGGTGAACTTTGCTCTGGCATCAGTGGTAACAGAGCCCCCAGAGGCAAATAAGGCTTCAGACAGCAGCACAAGCAACGCTGCGGCAGTACGAGACACATAAACACAACCGTGTGCGCAAATACATGCACATGCACATACACACTCCAGCTTCTCTGTATTCATCAGATGTTTTATACTGAGCCCAAGGGCTAGCTTTTAAAGATTACACAGCACTCTCTCTTTCTAGATCAGGTAGAATTTTTTTAACAGGAAATTGCCTGATCCACTGTCCCAAAGGGAGTGCTAGTAGTGCACCTCAAATACAAACGCCAACACAGACAAAAGACTCAGACTCACAGAGAACTGCATACTAATGGGTACACAAAGATGAACATCACCTTCTTTGTTTGCAACACTAAGTGCATAAAACTACATAACTGACTATTTCCTC